TATTTCACATATTTATAGTTTTCTTCAATTTTATGCAATTTTACTTATTTATAAACATTTACTGTAATTATATTGTTTTATAAACTATTAAAAATTAAATACCCATGGGGCTTACGCCCCGTGCCTCGGGGCTTACGCCTCGCTGAGGCATAGCTTATGTAAAACGCTTCGCCTTACGCCCACGCCTTTTAAAACACCGCTTCTCATAATTTCCTAAATTCTTAAACGCGAAAATTGCAGTAGAAGTCCAACTAATTTTCAGAACTATACTTCCGCTGGACCATTTTTGGAGGAATATACCTGTTTCATGAATGAAATGAGCATAGAACAAACTGGACCGCAACCTAATCAATGCGAATTATAACGGGATACAAAATAAAAAGAAGACTAACTTCCAATAACAACCAACCTAGCCAACATCAATAACAACTGGTTACTGAAGTTTGCACACTTCATAATTCAGCCATGCTCTAAAAATGACAGTGTCCTCTGGGAAAATTGATCAAAAGTAAAGAGAAGAAAAGATTCATGTCTGTTGATGGTACCACCGGCGGTGCCCCAATAAACAGTGTACTATCCAAGATAATGCGCAGTATAAAATCGTTTCTTTCGGTTACCAGTTTACCTGGAGGTACAGGACAACTGGCCGGGACCTATATCCACCATAACCTATATTGTACAGACTCTCCAAATATGCTGCCGCACCCGTGTCAGATCCTCCAAAAGTGCACTACTTTTGAAGGATCCGACACGCATCCGGCGACATTTTTGCAAAGTCTAAGTAACATAGTCCATAACATTAGGACCTTTGCACTTCACTGCCAACGCTAAAACTACATAAACAGGGACAACTGCATATTTTTCATACACATCATAATCGTATAATAAGCATTTTTAGTCCATATTGCAACGACTGTTTCTCTGCCTAGCCTAACTAAAAGTGATCACAAAACCATTCTGTTTTCATTTTTGATAAAGAATAATACCAATGTTTTGTTCTTCCCCTAATTTACGGGTTGGCCAAACCTGGCAAGAAAACCTTCCAACAAGTTACATCTCACGTGGACAATGACTTGCTGTGAAAAAGATTTCAGGGCGTGGGTGATTCATGTCATATAGTTTGCTGCCAATGCCAACATACCAATATTTGCAAGTGATAAATGATACAATCTCTAGCCTGTACGACCAAAATGACATCATTTTAGTATGCCATCCTAGCATCCTATCAACACACACTGCACATCAACAACGAGCCCACAACTATGTTTTCAAAAGTTACAAAATTTGTGTTCCTACTATAAACAAATTAATGCAATCAATCACATGATATAAAGTAGCAGAGTCACAAAACTACACCTAGACATGGTAAGTTTCTGCATTCCATTTAAACATGTTTATGAATTGATACCCTTCGAACTCACGTTAAAGGATTCTACGGATATCAATGGATCAAATGCAGGAATTAACCAGTCACAAGCCAGAAGAATACCATATATGTCAAGGAAATATCTTCTTTTGCCAAAATTTTATAAAATTTCTTGAACAAAAAGTAGTAATACTACAGTATAGGAAGAAAAAAAAACTACTAGGGAAAATCTAAACTCATACTAAAAAAAGTTAGCAGAAAATTCCATATACAAGTAATACATTTACTCATTAACTTTGAAGAGATTGCTCGAGCACCAACCTCAAACGACGTGCCAATACATCCAACTCTGCAACTCTTTGTTCCCTCCACCTCTCCTCAAACTTGTCCAAACTTTCATCTTTCAAAAAACCACCATTCTTAGAATCTTTCAAACACTCATCAAACACATCCATCACCACTTTTGCAGCAATTTCTCCAATACGACATCCTAACCCCACCCGTACTGGACCATCCAAACAACTACACCCGACCCGTTTATCCCCCACATCCCCGCTTTCGAATTCCACATTCACCTCACTCAACTTTCCATCTCCATCACAAAACTCACCAATTTCATCAGTGTTCTCATTATTTACCTGTCCCACTTCAACATTTTCCTTACTGACTGAAACCCCGCCATGGGTCGGGTCTTTTCCTGTTATTCGATTACTATTCCCAATGGACAAAGAATCGATATCCATTGAGAGTTTGTCTTGGTAAGGACCTGTACCATCTTGATTCGGGTCTTGGCCCGAGCCCTTGTTCGGGTCAGGGCCTGAAACATAAGGAGTATTGGGCAAAAAGCTCCCTTGGCCCGGGCCTGTATCATATTGATTGAGACCTTTGCCCGGGCCCGGAGCAGAAGGGACGATGGGCAAAAAGCTAACTTTAACCCCAACCAAGTTGGATCTTTTAGACTTGTCAGCATTAAACGGCGACGTATTAGCAAAATCAGGGTGCCAAAGCTGTCTCGAAAGATCATACAAAGCAATATCATGTGGCGACAACAATGACATATCTAACCCTTTAGACAAACGAGAAGAAATCACCCGAAACTTCTTCCTCAGCCTACGTAATTTCTCAGAAAGTTGAGATTTCGTGTAAGGCTGCGACATGGTATTTGAAAACCGAGTATAAAAAATATTAAGATCACGAGGGAATAAGAGGGACCCGTCATCAAGAAGGCCTTGTAAAAACCGGATCTCATCCGGTTCAGTCCATATTCGATGGAATTTAAACGGTGGTGGTTTTTGTGGGTCTGAACCGGCGGAGGAGATAAATGGGTCGTCGGTTGTTTTGCGTTTGATAGGGAGCTTAGAAGCAGTGTCAGTAGGGGATTGAGAAAGGGGAAGGGTGGAGTCCATGGCTATGAAAAATGTTTAGTTTAAGAGGTTGAACAATTAATTAAGAGATTGATTTTGGATTTGATTAATTTGATTTGGTTTTTTGGTTGTGGCTTGGTTTGAGCGTTACTTTCGGTTTTGGGTGAAGACTTTGTAAAAAAGGAAATAGAGATTTTGTTAATTTTAGTTACTGAATAATGTAACGAATTTTGCTTGAATATATGGTCATTAAGGATTTTCCATTATTCTCAAATAATGATTTGGACATCATTATTTGTGAATATTGAACTTTGGTTTATGGAATACTGGTAAAAATTTATTGAAAATTTTATTTTAGTATTAGTTTCAAATGAAATAATATCACTCACATAATTTCCATTTTCAAGTGAAACGGCCAAAACACAATTACAACTTTCATTTTTTCCGTAGAGACTAAAAAATAAATATCTCCACATGTCCAAATGCCTTGAGAAAAAAAAATTAAACTTACTTCTAATTTCTTACTATTATAAATTTTAAAATTATTTCAGATCAAAATTTCGTTAAGGATTAAAGACAAAAATAAAGCAAAAATAAGTTTCTATCAAAAAGACGGAATAATATAATTCAAAAGTTTAACTCAATTTGCAGAATAATTGACCTTTCAGAAAAAGGAAAAAAAAAAAGTTCTACTACCCAACTCCCCTGCCTCGTCCCCAGTGCCACACCGCCACCGCAGCCAGTCCTCCTTTCTCAGCGCCCAGCGCCACCACATACCACCGCCACTACCCATAAAGCTAGTTAGCTAGCTATTTGAGATTCAAATTCCCTCCTATGATTCAAAAATGAACTTATCACCTCGTATTATTCCCCCTTTAGCTTTCCATTTACTCTCCAAAACTTCCCATCTCTTAATTCCAACTCACCACCCTACTTTTTCAACCCAAACTCTTCAAGATTCCTTCAATATAATCACCTCTATATGCAATTCCCTACGTAGAGGAGAAAATTGGGAATCCTTAACCAAAAAGTTTCAATCTTTTCACTTCACACCCTCAATTATCCAACAAGTGCTTTTAACCCTCAAAGAACCAAATGATTCCAAAAATGCCCTGAGTTTCTTCCATTGGTCATCAAGAAATTGCAATTCTCGACATGGGGTTTTTATTTATTGCATTACAATTCATATTCTTGCAAAATCCAAATTTGTGAAAGATGCAAAGGCACTGCTTGATTCTGCTTTGAAAAATGAAAATTTATTTGTTGTTCTTGATTCTTTAATTGGAAGTTATAAGTTAGTTGATTCGTGCCCGTTTGTGTTTGATTTATTTGTGCAATGTTGTGCTAAGTTGAGAATGATAGATAAGTGTTTAGATGTTTGTAAATTGTTGGATGAAAATGGGTTTATGCTTAGTGTTATTAGTTACAATACTATGCTTCATGTTGTGCAGAAATCGGAAAAGACTAGTATGGTTTGGGGTATTTATAAGTATATGATTGAAAAAAGGATATACCCGAATGAAATGACTACGGGAATTATGATTAGTGCTTTGTGTAAAGAAGGAAGGTTGCAACGATTTTTGGATGTTGTGGAGAAAAGTCATGGAAAAAGATGTCAACAACCTGGGGTTGTTGTGAATACGTGTTTGGTATATGGGATGATTGAGGACGATAGAATTGAAGACGGGTTAAGTTTGATGAAGAGAATGTTGCAAAAGAATATGATACTTGATACTATTTCGTGTTCTTTGATCGTTCTTGCAAAGGTGAAGATGAGAGATTTGGAGTCTGCTTGGGGCGTTTATGATGAAATGCTTAGGCGGGGTTTTGAAGGGAATGCACTAGTGTACGATTCGTTCATTGGGGCGTATTGTGAGGAGAAGCAGATAGATGAAGCAATTAAGCTGATGGATGAAATGGAGTGTTTGCATATGAAACCATTTGGCGAAACATTCAATCATCTGATTAAGGGTTGTTCAGAAGTGGGAAGATTAGAAGAAAGCATGAAGTTTTGTGATAAAATGTTAGCGAATGGGTTGCTTCCTAGTAGTTTGGCTTTTAACAAACTTGTCGCTAAGCTTTGTGAAAATGGAAGTGCAAAGTCTGCTGATCAGCTATTGACTTCTCTGATGGATAAGGGTTTTATTCCAGATCAAAGCATCTATACTTACCTCATTGTTGGTTATGCCGACAAAGGTGACATTGAAGGAGCACTTAAGCTATATTATGAAATGCAATATAGGTCGATCTCCCCTAATGCTTCTATTTTTGATTCATTGATTATTGCTTTGTGTCAATGTGGGAGATTGAAAGAAGCGGACGAGTTTTTCTCTTTAATGATTGGTCAATCGTTGACACCAAGCATTCATGTTTACAAGAAATTGATCGCAAGCCACTTGGAGAGGGCGATGAAACAAGGGCTCATCAGCTGTACAGACAAATACGTAGAGAAATCTGACGATATACAATAGAGTAGTTTCTGATCTTTCTACTTTATTTGAAAGCAATCGAGCTGCATCAATAAGCAGATTAAAAATAAAAGTTTTCTCATAACGTTTTTCGTGATAGTATTGGTGAGCGTTGGTTGGCAAGTGGTAACATGATTTTCTACACTGTAGTTTGGTTGTTGGTATCATAATGTTTTGGATGGTATCTGAGTTATTATTTGTTTTTTTGATAAGAGGGAAACCCACAGCCGCTACACTTGGTGCGCACTTGCTAAACCTCCTCCTGTGTAATAGCCTGCAAACCACACAGGGGATTAAACNTTAAGGAACAGTTGGGTTAATACTGAAATAATTCTCTCACCTTTCACCACCTTTTTCTACTTAAAACATCAGCACCTCTCAGTAGTCAATATGTATAATAATAACTCAGATACCAAACCCTTCGGGGTTGCCCAGCTGGTTTGGAGAGTCGAATCCCCCTCAATGCCTTCTGGATTGAACCTGTCGCACTAGCCTAGTGCGACAGGTTCAATCCAGAAGGCATTGAGGGGGATTCGACTCTCCAAACCAGCTGGGCAACCCCGAAGGGTTTGGTATCTGAGTTATTATTATACATATTGACTACTGAGAGGTGCTGATGTTTTAAGTAGAAAAAGGTGGTGAAAGGTGAGAGAATTATTTCAGTATTAACCCAACTGTTCCTTAACTCGCAGCTGTTGTTTCCCTTGATAGGGTAACAAAAAATAAGCTGGACGGCAAGGAAAACTTGAAGCAAGCTGGCAGAAAATAAACTCCTTCACTGTGTAAGCTGTCTTTACTCTCCTGTTAAAGTTATCTTATTATCTTTATATTCTTTTACTCCTAAAATAGTTAGTTAATGCATAGCATATCAATAGCCAAATTTTCTGATGAGCAGTTGATTGCATGGAAACAACATTTATTAGGGATATGCGACTCTTTGGACTAATTCTTTCCTCCCATTTATTTACTTCACTCTGAGGAAAAAAAGAGTCTGAGATTTGTAGCTCAAAGTGGCAGTGATATCAAGTAAGGTGGAAAATTGTGCTTGACCTTCATATAAACCTGATACGTTGTAGGTTTTGTCCATACTTACCAAAGTAGTAGCCAGGTTCATGCTATAATGAGGAATTTTAGTAATATGTTAAGGGGAGTATCCACTTCTGCAAATTGAATATCTTGATTCACACTCGACTAGGGAAATGAAACGTACAACTTCAGATATGACATACTGATCTTGTTCTTGTCATGCGTGACTTCATATTGTATTGCTATGTTAACTTGATGATTAATCATGAGACACAAATTGCTTCGGTTGCTGATATAATCTCCTTGGTTTTTTATTGTTTGCTTCGTAGGTTCAGAAGTTTGTTGATTTCAAGCAGAAGCAGACTATCTTTCACATAAAGCAATGGCCAGTAACATTGACTTGAGCTCTTCCAGATGTGACATTGCATTCAGGTCATTCTCTTCTTACCAATAATTTTCCTACATTTTGTATGATGATAAGTTGTTTTTCCACTTCATTTGTTGCTTCTGTATCATGAACATATTCTTTTAATAGAAAAATCACATGTCAAAGGTGCAAAAGAGAGGTGCAATTGATTTGAGTACTCTTAGATGGTTGAATCTGCATTTTCCCCTACATGGTATAAGAGAAACTAGGGAATAAAACTACATATTTGTCAATATCCTCCTCCTTTTCCTTTTCTTCTTCTTAGGGCTCGTTTGGTACGAGGGATAACTAATCCCGGGATAATTAATCATGGGATAACTTGTTTCCCAACCAAACGACCCCTTAGGGGTAATCTTTCGAGATACATATAGCATCTCCACTTGTCTATCTTTTGAGTAAAGATTCTATTATACAATGTTGAAAGGAAGAAATCTAGAGAATGGAATGTAATAATGTGTAGCAAGTACCCTTTAAGGACTAGAGTACTAGTAGTTAATTAGAAAGGGCAGTCCGATGCACAAAGTATCCGCATTCACGCAGGGTTTGGGGAAGAACTGCACCCCAAGGAGTGTGATGTAGGCAGCCTACCTAACACAAGCGTATTCCTTTTCTTTTTACTATTTTATTATGAAAAAAAATGTATACATGCAAAGCCTAAATTCTAATGCAAATTTGTTGAAACTATCAAAGCCATATTCCTTTTCTTTTTACTATTTTAATCCATTTTTAAGCGCCAAATAGCATAGCCAAAATCTGGAATGTTGAAGTGAATCCAAAAATAAGGAAAAGGTGGATTAGAGCAGCAAGTTTAAAGCAGCAGCAAATTGCCCTTGTCTTCCCTCTTCCTTTATCCCAAAAGATGAGAAGATATTTTATCGGAAACAACCTATCTACGTCATACAAGGTAGGGGTAAGGTCAGCGTATCAAAATTTTGTCATTATTGCTTATCAATCCAGGCAAAATTCAAACTCCGTTTCAAATTTGCTAATTATATCAATTTATCTCATTTGACTTTCGAGTTTAAATTATGTTTACCGAGAGTGATAGTTTTTTAATATTATTATATCAAGTTTACATACGATCCTGACAACAATTAATTCTCCCAGCAAACCTAATATAATAACTTGAAAATTAAAGTAATTAATAACCTGCTGTTATTAATTACAACTTACATTGATAATGAATGTTCATATAATTACCATTTTCCTTGAGTCCAATAGGTGCATAAACATTTAAACCAATCCCCACACTTACCACTCACAGTAAAAGTTTGTTGATAACGTCTTACACAGTAACTATAACAATTATTATCACTAAAACACCATCCATAATCATTATTACCAGTAGTTACCAATTCCCAGTCGTGAGCTTCTGTCAAATCTGCGTCCAAAAACAAAGAAAATTAACAAACTAAAACACCCTTTTTTTTTCTACCTCAAAATTTTATTTACTTATTTATTTTATTTGCAAATATATTTTGTCTGACGAATTCAAAAATTTGTAATCAGTAGTTACCAGGACAAGAAAATTACCTTTATACGTGTTTGATACGGCCGAAGTCATGTGCTTTAAAAAATAGATTTCGTGGAAAATAATTTTGTTTCCTGGAGTCTTGTCGGTGAGTGGTAAATATTTTCGTACTTTTGTTATACGAAACACCAGTAAATAACTTAGTCATGAAAAATATTTTCTGGAAGTCATTTTTCTTCGTATAAAACACAGTAACTCTTAATATAAAAATTTTAATATAAATAACAATCCATTTGGGTAAAGAATTTAAATTTTAGTATAAATGACAAGCACAAAACGTATACTTAAAGGTCGCTTTTATTTATCTATATATGGATAATGAGGAAACTAAACGCTATCATAAATTTTAAGTCTTTTTTTTGCTACCATTTTCATTTGTGTTGGTCCTCCGTTCTCGGTTCTACCTTTTAAAAGTGATAGTTTTTTTTTTGGGAAAAATTCAAAAATAGCCAGATTTAAAAGTGATAATTGAAAAATAGTCACAGTTTCAAAAGTAATCGAAATTTAGCCACTTTTCATGTAAAGATAAATCTGAACAAAAACACTGTTCAAAATCCGAAAAATATTCCAGCACAATATACTGGAGTTCCAGTATGATATACTTGAACCTGGAGTTATACTGGAACTCTAGCATAATATATTGGAGTTCCAGTATAATATACTGATCCATCATAATATGTTTGAAGTTCATACACAGGTGCTCCAATCTCCAGTATATTATGCTGGAACTTTTCGCGTGTTGGAGTTCCAGCATAATATGATGGAAGTTCATACACATGTGCACCAATCTTCAGTATATTATGCTGGACCGGTCCGTGTTGCAGCAAAATAGTGGCTATTTTTCAATGACTTTGTAAACACTGGTTATTTTTCAATTACCAGTCCAAAAACTGGCTAGCCCGTGCTATTTTTACTTTTTTTTTACAATACAATAGGTTCGTAATTAATTTATAATCAATAAAGCTTTGAATTTCCTGTATAAACAATGCATATGTTCTCGTCCTTACAACTCTTGATCCTAAAATATAACGGAAAAAGCAATAAATAATATCCTCATCAGGTATAAAAATGTTTGTATGCAGGATTAAGCACTTGCATTATAGAATAAATAAATTATGAGCTTTGGTTATAGATGCAATTACTCACCTAGTGATGCAAAGACGAAAATCAAATAGCTCAAAATGACAAAAATTTGTGTTGTAGTCATGATTTCTTCTTCTTGTCCTCTATGCATTTTCGTGAGAGGATTGAAGGTAATGTTTCTAAATGTATTTATATATAAGAAGTTTTAAGCTTTAGTTTCTCACAGGATCCAATACTTGCAAAATTAAATTCTAATTAATTCTTCTAATCTTCAGTTTCATATTATTTAATGCGACTACACTTTTCATCAGTTTTCGAACAATTAAGACAAATGATTTAATTAAGCTTTTAAGTCGTGTACGTAAAAATTAGAAGAATAATACAATACCATTTACATCCGTGAGTCCTCATAGTTGTGCCTGAATCTGCGATATTTCGTCTAAAATGGCCTTTCAAACTTAATAACAATAGAGTACTTCACTAAAAAGATTGGGGTGGAATGGTAAGTACTCATTTATTCTTAAGCAGAGATCTCGACTTTGAGCCCTAGGTATGAAGCCACCTTTGTAAGGGAGCGCTTTCCCTAACATGGGACTTCCCGACATGAATTCGAATTTGACTGGACCCCAATACAATTACTGAACATCGAGTGAAAAAGCTCGATTTTAGCAGGTTCGCGCGCTCAAAACACTATCCTTAAAAATATTTCATCCATACAATAAAGTATAAAATTAGGCATATTTCTTAGGGTTCAACAAACTCCTTTAGTTATAAATTGGGAACAAAAACAACAGAAAGTCAAGAAAGAAAAACGCAGCCTATAAGAAGCTATAGGAGAAAGAAGAATGATTTAGAAGAATTTTGTATACTAGTTTTCAAAAAAATTACCTTATATATATAGGTGTTGCTCCAATGATTAGTTAGCAACAATTAGTTTCACCCCATTAATTGAAAGATAAAGAAATTTATTAAATAATAAGTAAATATAAAAAATAATATTTCAAAGAGAGTTTTTCCAAACCAATAATGAACATTTTCATTGAGATAGCACTAATTTTTTTTTTTTTTTTAGCTATTCTTCAATCCTTTTACTCAATTTTCATTGTTTTTCTTGCAAGTCTTGGGTGTTTCTCACTTCTTCAACTCTCTCAAAGCATAATTAGTGCATGATTTAGATGTTACTATTTAGTTTCAGCTCTCAGATTTCAGTGTTAATTAAATACATTTCTTAAATTATATTACTGCATTCCATTGTAAAAGTTTGTCCCAAAATAGTCTTGTTCCTCCGCTTAGATATGTTGAGGACGTAGGTGACAGGGCATAAAGCTAGAGGTCAGTTGATAGGCTCCATTGATTTATCCAATGGCATCAAGCTTTTTTCGGACTCTTTATCTATTTGAGACATTTATGTTATTCTCAAAGAATGCTTCGAAGATTTATGTAATCAAATTTCAATTAAAAGCTCATGACTTGACAATTGGTTGGGCTTACAGATATTTTAACATTTAATTTATTACTTCAGACAATAATACTTGAAGACTTTATTACTAGTTAATTGCATGTCAGTGCAAAAGTGAATATTGGCTAGATAAATTCACTCAATGGGCAGTAAGGGTTAGGTGTCAATCATGCCCCTCCCCATATTAGGACTGTGATAGGATTAAAACACCACATTGATTCCGAATCAATATAAATATAACTGTGTGTCATTTCTATTTCATGCACTTTACTTTTTTGCTATATATTTGCTTCTGCTTAACTACTTGTTCTAATTGACTAACATTTCTTTGCAGTCAACTAAAATTTTAAAAGGCTACATTTCACACCCCTCTCGTATTTTCATGTTCAATTTAACTGTGATTTGTGTATTATTAATACACTATACACTTCAGTCCAGAGAGCTTCATTCCTCCAGTCTTGTGCTAGCTCAAATTTCATTCAAAGAGCTAACACACCTTCGCTGCATAATATTCCATTATTTTAGATATATAGAGCTATATGAAAATGTTAACATTTCTATATTTCAGAGTATCAAATAATTACTTCTTCGGTCTAATTTAAGTGATTTTTTTTGCTCTTTTCACATATTAAGGAATTGACCTTTTAGCATTAATTAACAATGAAATTGACCATATTAACCTTAATTTGCTCATTGGAAATATAACAAACTACCTAGGCTCTTTACTCCAAGGGCAACTTTGGAAAAAAAGAAGTTAATTCTTTCTTGATATCTGAAAAAATCAAATACTGTGAACCACAATAAAAAGGTTAAAAAATCACTTAAAGTGGACCGAAGGGAGTAGTTAATGAAGATAATCTTGACGCACTTTAAGATAGTTAATTTTTCCTAAAGCATTTAATTACAAAAAAAGGCCTAATGATGCTGCACGACCACTTTTCGTTATCCCAAGACAAGGTATGAAATAATATGTCCATATTTTCTTTAATATTGCACATTATTTTGTTTGTATTAAAGTTCTTGTTAATATCATTTATCACTCCAGACAAAACGCAAACTCCGCTTCAAATTTGTTAACTATATCAGCTATTCAGCTATTTCCTTTCATTCCCGAGTTTAAGTTTTGTGTATTAATAGCAACAAAATTTAATTTAAATTACCATGTCAAGTTTACATACGGACAACAATTAATGTTTTATAAAACAAACCTAATATAATAAGTTGAATAATAAAACCGAGCCTTCGACGTCACTATAGGTTAAGCCCTGTACCTATACCACTGCCTTGAACTCTTAATCAATTAGCGGGGCATTCTAAACCTACGTCAACAATAAATAGGGAGAATCGAGATGTGTCGGTTTAGAAAAAGTCGATGCATATGGGAACGAAAGGTGAATGAAGGGGGTGCGCCAGCAAGTTATTCTAAATATCAGAAGTTTAAAGATTGAATTGAGGAATACAAACTCATTCGACAAAGAGCCCATGCAAAATTTGTTTGCAACTATTTGAAATTATTCGGTTACCATTCGATTATACCGGAAGATCCTATTAGTAAACAATGAATACAAATATGGAATGGATGTGGAAACGGAAATAAACTAATAACTTGCTATAGTTAATTAAATTACATTAATAACTATTTTATTTTAAATTATCAGTATATGTATAACTTAATTGTTTTTTAACGGGGGCATCTTACTAGGCCAAAGATCCCAATAGGTGCATACACATTTGAACCAATCACACTCGCCACTCGTTTTAAAAGATTCTGGATAAAGGTCTACACAGTAATTATTACAATTATCATCGCTAAAGCACCATCCATAATAATGTTTCCTACAAAACACAATAACTGTTTTAATATAAAGATTTTTAAATATAAATGAC